TTGCATTTTTCAGTGTTAAACACCATCAGGTTTTTTCCCGCCCATTTCCTGAGCCTGTCAAGATCTGTCTGGATTGCCCTCTTGTCCTCAGGTGTGGATGCTTTACCCCAGAGTTTGGTGTCATCAGTGAACTTGGCCGGTCTGCTTCTGACACCAATGTCTACATCATTAATGAAGATGTTAAAAAGTATAGGCCCTAGGACAGAGGCTTGAGGGACCCCACTGGTCACAGGGCACCATGACAATTGACTTCCATCAACCATCACACTCTGGGTCCTGCCGCGGAGCCAGTTCCCCAGCCAGCGGATCGTGGTGAGGTCGAGGCCACAGTTAGCCAGTTTTGCCAAGAGGTGATCATGGGATATCAGATCAAAGGCTTTTTTAAAGTTGAGATATATGACATCAATCTCTTCCCCCTTGTCCAGGTGATAGGTCACTTGGTCGTAAAAAGGAAATGAGATTGGTCAAGCAAGACCTACTCGCAACAAACCCGTGCTGGCTATCCCTCAGGATGCTGCCATCAGCTAGTCTGTTAAGGATGGCCTCCTTGATAATCTTTTCCAAGACCTTCCCCAGGATAGAGGTCAGGCTGATGGGCCTGTAGTTTGCCAGATCCACTTTCCACCCTTTCTTGAAGATAGGCACCACGTTGGCCTTCTTCCAATCTTTGGGCACTACACCAGAGCACCAGGAGTTCTCAAAGAGCTGTGCCAGGGGCTGAGCTATGATGCTTGCCAACTCCTATGATGCTTGCCAGCTCCTTGCATTTACATTGATGCAAATTGGTTAAGCAGGCTCTTTGAACTGTTTGTGTTTGTATTTTTTTAACCTGTAGGCAGACCTGTTAAACTTAACACAACAAACCATCCTTATATATTTTTACATAGAACTTGCTGTAAAAAATTGTCTAAAAACCTTTTAATAAATCTTAAATATTAACATTTTCAGCTGGAGTAACACTTGGGAAACAATCTTCAAGAGGAACATACTGTAATAAAAATCAATTCATTAAAGGACTGATTTGGCCCTAGAACGTTAGCAGTTTCATTTTTGCTCTCAGTAAGATGCTTCTAATACACACCTTACTGCAATCTTCTACAGTGGAATTTCATGACAGGTTGTTGTCCTTGGCAACAGCCTTAATATATCATGAAAGGCAACAGTGAAGAAGAATATCATTATAACCCACAAAAAACACACAGCAGTTTCTTTTTTTTTTCTTCTCTAAATATTTGTTGCGTAGTTGGTTGCAAATGCATCTTATAAGAAGAACACAAGGTCTGGCTTGTCAATTATGATGACAAAAACTAAGTGTGCTTAGACATTTCATCTCCATTGTTGGTAACAGGATTAAAAGACCAACTGAACTGGGGCTAAATATTTTTTCTTTAGAAATGTTTCTGAAACAAGCAAAGAGCATTTAATTTGACTGTTATCTTATGGATGCATCAACACGTGCAATTAATTCAACTGAATAAACTCTGGCACAGTTTATGACAGAGTTTATTGCTTCCAGTGCTGCATTTACACATGCACTTAGGACCACAGCACATTGAGCTGGGTTGGAGCAGCCCTGGCTGGCAGGGGACCAGCGTGGGTCAGCCTCCCAGCATGGGGCTGTTCTGACCTAGCTGAACCTACTGTGGAGGGGCTGGCTGGGGCACGGGGGTGCTCCAATGCAGGGCTAGCTGGCAGGAAGCCCCTGCACTGAAGCAGCCTCATGTCCTAGCCAGCCCCTCCAGCATCTACACATGCATTGCTGCAGAGTATTTACAAATACTATCCTGCTGCAGACTTAAGTAGTTCAGTCCTGCATATGTAGACATGAGACATTTACTGTGGAGCTAATTAGTCAACTGCAGTAAATATCTCATGTAGAAGCACCATGTTAATCCTAATGGACACAAAGTTATTTTTACCTTGGTAAATAGATTACCACATTTTAAATGCCTATTCAGAAGGAGAATGAAGCCATATTACAAAGTCCCTGTGCTATGGAACAAGAAAGGCTAAAGGCAAAAATCCTTCTCAGCATATATCACAGTACTCAACTATTGATGGGTACTTGGAGGAGCAGCGATGCTATCTGCTGCCTCCCTCATATATGAAGTTTTGGCAATCTGAATCTATGGTGCCTGTAAAGACACTGAATAAAGATTACTCTGTTGGTGACAATCTCACCTTGTGCTTTCTGGGATCTCCCACAAAGACCTGACATCCAGGACAGGCTGATAACCATTGTGTGAGTTCTCTAAAACTTTACTGTGTCAGACTGAAATAAGTAGTTCCCAACACATTAGGCTCTTGTCTCCCCATGTGTAAACAGCCTTGGAATGTGATTTTTGTTGCATAAACTTATTGCTCCATAAATAAAACTGAAATAGGGGCTTGTTCAGAAACACACTTTGGGCAAAAACGTTCGGTGGAAAAAGATTTTGAGTTTTCTGATAACTGTATTTTATTTTGGGGATAATTTTTTTTAAAAGTACACGCAGGCTTGTAAGTGCTAGGAGATCACATTCATGATCATTGTTGATTTTGTACAAATTATTTAGCTTTTAAATGTTGACTTGTCAGAATTTGATCTTATGTACTATTTATTTTTTTCCCATGTTTATTTTCTGAATTCTTGGGTCACAGGTAGGTATAATTTAACTCCATGTGTTAGCTTTTTTGAATCATTATGCAGTAGATGGTTTGGAGCTAATGTCTTCACTTCGTGTGTAAGGCTAAGCATAAAGGAATGGGAATCAGATCAGTGAATGGAGAAAGCTTTGTAAGTTGTCTCTGTAAGCTTATTATTAGAAGCTTTTTTTTTTTGGTAAGAATATTTTCAGCATTCTTTTCTCTACCAAATAAGCTTTATCTTCTTTTTGAACCGAGGACCCCTGTGGTTGATTTTTGTGCCTAGCTACCTTGTACTGTACTTATGTGACTATCTGTATGTTGTGCTGATCTTTGATTTTTATGCCACAGCTGCTGTAGTGGTTGCTAACTCTAACAGACAGACTTGCTAGCAATTTCTTTTTATAGGTTAAATTATTCTCTCAGCTGGAGAATTTACATTTCTGTCTGTGTGTAAGACAGAAATGAATCCCCATCATTGTTGAAAGGAGCTAATAGATTTGTTACTCCTACCAGATTTCTTTCTGCTTCATCAATGCCTTTTTTCTTGACAACTCCCAGAAGATCATTTTTTTATTACAAGTAAAGCTATCTTATATACTTAATTTATGGCAGGCATGTTTTTCCTTCAACAAAGGATGGTTCAATTATGTCGTTTACTCTACATTTAGTTTGTTTTTAATAAGGTTGGCAATTTATACAAGGAATTATCCCATGCTGGCATTTTTGTGCAATTTTGCAAGACAGTGGAAAGTAATCTTACAACCTATCTGATTTATCTGGAGGCAGCTAGGGATTCTAGTGTGTAACAATGAAATTATTGAGGGGCACTTTTCTCATTAGGTGCTTTGCCTGCTTTGTTTTTGAGCTATGAAAACAATGTTTTTGGTAGTCCTTGCCCCTTTCTCCCTCTTTCTTTGAAACCATTCAAATGGGAGCAAATAAGACTTCTCTTAAAAAAAAACAACCCCTGCTGTACAATATCACCTATTACAGTTTATAGATTTTGAACCAATGACACTAAGTGGTCATAAGTACTAAAAGTTTAATTCGTTGGTTAGGACTAGGGGACTCGTTCTACAAAATACTGACCACTTGGACCTGAAATCACAGTTCTAACAGTTGCAAAAAATCATGGATCCAGGCCCTTAAATCTCCATTTCTTTTTGTATATAAATAAAATGTTAGCTTAGTACACTCCTTACTTTGTTCCTCTCATAATTATGTAGCCATCCTGATAGGATGGGACAATGGAAGCACAACAAAATGTTAATGTACATGTTCTTGTTGTGCTCTGGAAAGAACCCCTTTCTGTCCTTTCATGGTCCTTAATAAACGAGACATAAACCTGAAGAGACTTGAAGACTACCAAAGACTACCTACCAAAAAACAGAATCAGTTTTTTGGGGGCATTATATCCAAGAACTGATCATCAGAGCTTGCATTCAAAGCTGCTTATGCAAAAAGTGATTCGCAGAACGGATGAGAAATAGTAAGAACTCTTTGTTTTGCAAGGGGCAGACATATTGTGCTGAAAGGTTTTACTGCCACTTTCAATAAGAAATTTGCTGGCGCTAAATTCCTCTTTCTGGTACATTTTTATTCAATTTTTTATTCCAAACTATATTCTGACTGTGTCAGAATGTGGGGAAAATGAGACTGGTGTAGGCTTTCAGGAAGCTTTCAAATGCCAACAGAATTGTAGCTGTTTGTGTACATTGATCAAGAGTTTGCTGTTGTATGTTTATCCATATTTGAGGGGTATGAAAAACAGACATCTCTACTACATTTTGTTGGAAGTAAGTAGTTCTTTATACTTGTACAGTAACTTACCTGCCATGGCCTCTTTGTGAGTAAATATCTTATTGTCGACGGCCAAACTTATGTCATAGAACACTTCCTCTTCATCTCTATCTGCATCAAACTATTGGGAAAAACAAACAAAGTCAGGTACTTCTGGACGGGGTGAATAAATTAGATGAATGTTGTTGCATAATATGGAGTCTGATTATGGGCCCATTAAATCATAGGGAATAATTCAATTCACTTCTAAGTATTTTGCATCCAGCTTTAATTATGATTTATTCCAAGTCTGATTGCAAACAAACCTCATTTTTGTGAACCATGTTTTCATAAGCCACAGCTAAACAAAAATGCAATAAAAACACAATAAAAACTGAGTTGTTTTAAAATGCTGACATTTTGAAGCAAAAAAAATAGTACCAAATAATAATACTACCTTAGTTGCTTTGGATAGCAGAAAAAAGTGAAAATGTAAGGT